CCCCAAAACCCCAAAACCCCAAAACCCCAAAACCCCTAAAATTTCAACCAAAATAGAAAAATGAAATTTTTTATTAGAAATTATAGGCGAGGGTGCCTATAGGGGTTAAGGAATTTTACGTTTTTTCTTAAAGGATTCTATGTAGAAGTCTATGTCTGGGATTAAATTGCTAGCGAGAAGGGAAGCATTGTTGTTTCTTTTAGCCGCTTTTGTTATACCTAAAGGATAATAGAGAAAATGTACCCTTATTTTAGCTTCTCCATTTGGGTGAGGATCATTTTTGCTTTTTCAAGGTTTTGTTGTTGTTTGAGTTCAAGGTTTACCTCTCCACCTTCCTCTCGAATGATGCTTCAGTTTTCACTGAGGAGAAGAGTTACTTGGTCAAAGATTCCCTTTAGAGCTTTTAATCCGATTATTATGTAACTCTCATATTTGCTGTTTATTAGAGAATAAAGGTGAGCAAGCAATGCAGCTGCATTCTCCATTGTGATCTTAGACAAATGCTTGCTTGGGTCCTTCACAAAAGTGTAGTTGAAGAAGTCTACAACCAGGCTAGTGTCCCTTCTTGAACTGAGGGTATTTATTGTAGAATCTAAATTGGCCTTATTCCACCATCTCTGTACAATCTTCAAGTTATTCGCTCTTTTGTTCATAATTGTGAGCATAACTTTGTTGTCTTTCATCAAGTTTTTCATGAGTTTTACTTGGCTATCATCTTCCTCGATATCTTCAACATTACACTCGTTGGCAAGGAACTTCTCCAAGTCAAGGCCTAGAGGAGTATCTGTAGGCACTTCGTATAGAGAAGGGGCGAACATGCTGTTCATTGTCGTATTCATGTCATCATTATTAGTGTTCCTGAAATTGTGTTCATAGCAATAAAGCTTACATATTTTTAGAGATGGTGCTCTTCCCAGCACTAATTATGGTCCGCTTCCGTTTGGTGCCCCATCCAAGCCTAACATTCTTTTTCTTAACATTTGAGAATTGCTTAGTAGATCTCATGGAACCGGAATCGTCATATTCAGAAGGATCTTGCCAAGAGTTTAACTTTGGAGGCTCAGGTTTTGGTTCTAAATGCTAAGGACTTTTCTCTACTTTTCTCAACGATGAAGTTCTCGACTGAGTCCAGTGGGACCTCTCGCTCGCCTTTGGTCTTACTGAAGCTCTCAAAATGAGATTTATGTTCAAAAGGTACAGGCATGTCTGGCTATTTGGTGTTAAAAATCTTGCTTAATTTTGGAAAGGAAGACCTGACTCACCGAAAATTTGTTCTGTTTGCCAAAAGAGTTACCTGCTTCCTCATTCATGGGCAAAGCCTATATGGACTGATTCTAGAACAAAATTTGGGTTACTTACGATATCATTTTTAGAGATCATTTCAAGACCATTCTTGGATAAAGATGGCGACTTTTGGATCTTGATGGAGCTCCGCTTCACAGTCAATTTGGGCTGCTTCAGATTCTATATTTTGGTTGTCTTAGGAATGCAAAAACTCCTTACGTTATTCTTTAGTGGGCTAGAATATGTCTCATTAACAAACGGGTTATCATAGCTCAATTTATGAGCTTTATTCCTATTCTTAGAGTTATGATCCCATGAGAACTTAGGGTCCATCGGAAGGAGCGTTGGCTCCTTCTTTGCAGACCCAATGTTCTTCGGATGGTTGTTAAAGTTTTCTATTACAAAAGCTTTAGAATTTTTGCCAATGAAGCTCATATTTATTATCAATTAATAATAAATAAGAAGGGGTTTTGGGGTTTTGGGGTTTTGGGGTTTTGGGG